AATATATCAGGACATGTAAGTCTTGCGATTTTATAACCTAACTTCCTTTAAATTTCTTCTGAGCATTTCCATGTGTGTTTAAAGAGAGTAATTTAAAACAAACACGCATGTTTGTAACAGCACGGTGCCACGCGTTCCCGACTAGCTGGAGTCAATGTGGACGGAGTCTTGCCTTTCCCTGGTTCTCTCTGGTACAGTGATTTCTCCCGATATCGTGATGCCCTCTAGTGAATCCAGCTTTGCAGATAAGACGTTTGCGAGACTCCCGTACTCTTCCAAAGGAACCTTCTAGTTACTAGAACTATTTCTGTGTCCCTTGTGGAGATGAGATGCTTCTGTCTCTGGAAGTGTTCAAGCATGGTTGGGTGATCTCGTGTGAGTCTTAACTGAACTGTGTGAGGTTACGCCAGATGTCTTCCGAAACCTCCTTTTCCGCCTGCCTTCCCCTGGGTGCTTTGCCTTCATTCAGTAAGAGGCTCAGTCCCTGAGTGCTCAGTTTGCCCCTGAGGGTTGGAGAAGCGTCAGAGGCTCATCTTCTGTTATCTTGGTCATGAGTGAAGGCATGTGGCTTTCAGTTTGTTGCTTTTGTGCAGAAATCGAGACCCAGAGAGGTTAAACAGCTTGCCTGAAGTCATAGAATAAATAGTGGGACCCCGGCCGTTTGTGACTGGTGGGCGGAGAGGGATGTGTTCGCTGGTGACAGGTCGGTGCTCTCAGGCGTTCTCCGTGTCTCTTTCAAGCTGCCCGGATGTCTTTGGAAGCGGTCTGTCTGACGTTACTGCCCTACGGTGAGTTCTGGTTCTGGTTAACTTTAAGATCTGCACCCAGTGTTTTAAGTTCTTGTAGGTCTTTTGCCCAGAAGATACTTCATTTTTCAATCAGCAGGGTTTTATTGGATTGCAACCACCAACACACAGTTTTGTTGTTTCGGTTTGGTTTGGGGGGATCCCGCTTGGGGCTCCGGGGCCCTCCTAGGGTGCAGAGGGTCCAGCTGAGTGCCTCAGCCCCTGTGCTGTCTGTCCGGCCTGAAGATACTTAGTTGACAGACGGAAAACTTGTTTGCTTCCTGTGAAACATCCTTACGGGAAATTCAGAGAATTAATGGCTCATCTGGTTAAGAATTCTTTGAGAGTATTTATGACCTTTGTTTTAGCCTTCAGAGTTGGTCCCGGTCATTCCAGTATGTCTCCCTCCCCCAGGGGTCCACCTTGGGAAGTGCTGGCCTCTCGCCTTGGTGGACATCGATTTCTTTGAGTGTTGGCTCAGTGGGGTTCATCATCGCCGAGTAACGGTGGCCCCTGCTCTCGTCCTGCTGTCACTGTGTTTCGTTTCTGTGTTCACCTAAACACTTGAGACGTTCGTCAGTAGGTCCGTCCCTCCATCTTTCCGATTAGGGTCCAAGTGAGAAATGAGAGGAAGTGACCTTGGAAGCTTATTCCAAAGTGTGAGTAAATAAGGTCCCAGTTTTTTTGGAATTTCAAGGTTCTGACTGAGGCGGGGTCTGGAGGAACTCAGAGGAACCACGGAGGCTCCCGTGCCTCTGGCTGAAGCAGATTCCTGGTTCCCAGAATGGCTCAGGACTCTGTGAGTTGTGCTCCCCTGTTTTTTCCTTCCTATTTATCTTTCTTTCCCCCAAAGCTTTTTCTTTTTTCCTTTTTTTTTTTTTTTGCAGTGAAAATGGCAAAGGATTATTTCAGGATTATTTCAGAGATAGGAATTACGGGGTAGTTGTGGTGAGAGTTCCGCGGCCCAGGATCTGGGAACACATGTGAAGACTGTTGGTGAGGTCGCAGAAATAGGCCCAAGTGGTCCCAGAGGCGTGTGGGAGGAGAGTTTGGGAGCTGGGTGGGGGCGCCCACAACTTAGGAGCCTTCATCCAGCTCAGAGTTGGGATGTCCTGAATTTTTATCCACGGAGGAGTGTTTCCACAGTGCTTACGGACTCTGTTGTTCTGGGTCCTATTCTGGGTGCTATTTTCAGGGTATCAGTGAAGTTCACTTTCCTGGGCCCATCTCAAACCCCGATCACTGTGTATTGTATGATTTCCTTTCTCTCTCTCTTTTTTTGGGGGGGGGGGAGGAGAGGCTACATTCAGTGGTGCTCAGCGGTCCTTCCTGGCACAGAGCTTGGGGTGACTCCTTGGTGGTCCCGGGGCATGCGGGGTGGTGGTCAGACCCAGGCCTGCCACCTGCAAGCCTGGATGAAGACTCCTAGCCCTGGGGGGGGCCCAGATTGTACAGTCTCTCTGAGCAAATGCAGTCTAGGTTCCAGAAAGCTGACTTACTTAGGAAGTTTTGGACCGCGTCCTGCTTTAAGATGGGGCTGCTGGTTCGACCCATGTTTCACAGAATCTCTGACTTGGGGCATTTCTAACCTAGGAGTCAAAATTTGCACATGACCTAAACCTCTGTGACTAGTGATGTATTTGAGAATAAACTTTTTGCAACCCCCCCCCCCCCCGCCCCAGGACCGTCATCTGGTAAGTCAGGGAAGGTTACGTTTCTGAGTTTTTTAGAAGTGCCTTTGGTAACCAGAAAACAGTGATATTTGCTATTGTGCTTGCAAATTAGACACGATATTAAAAAATCTTTATGGATTCTGGTCGGATCTCAAGAATGCAGGTAGAGTTCTTCGGCATATTCATCTAAGGTGTTTTCAGTTGGCAAAGTAGCAAAAATGAACAAATGGGACTATATCAAATTGAGACATTTTTTCACATGGCATAAGAAATCCAGTCTAAAATTTAAGGGTACCCTTCCTAATGGTCACTTGAACACTTGACTTCCCGTTAATCGTCGATTTGCTCGAGCGGGCGCCAGTAACGTCTCCATTTGTCCCTGTCACGTGCCAGTGTAGCCCAATGGCATCTGTTCGCTCCGGGAACATGAAGAGCCTCAAACCGATCGTTCATGATCTTTACGAAGAAGTCTGACCATCATGTAGGTGGGCGGCCACGCGGTCTTTTGACGTCCCGTGGAATCCAGTCGGTAACGGCTCTGGTCTAGCGGTCGTCTCCAAATCTCATTATGGTCGTCTCCAGATCTCTTCCTAATGGGGGGAAATATTATACATGACCTGTCAGAATAGGGTGACATCCACAATTTACAAGCACTCACAAAACTCAGCAGCAAAGAAAAATGAATAACCCATTTAAATAAAGATCGTGGAGAGCTGATAGACATATATTGAATAATTTGTCATCACTTATTATTAGAGAGGTGCAAATCAAAATACAGTGAGGTGTCTCACACCAGGGACTCCACGCCAAGCAGTTTTCACTCGGGGTGCCCCAGATGGGGGCGGGTGAGAGCCCTCCCCGCCCCTGGGGACCCAGCCCCGGCAACTGACCTCCGCTACCCAACTGCCGCCACGCTCCAGGCCACTTTCCGGACGCAGGGCCACGAACACAGTTCCATAATCACCGTACCATGTTTGATGGGGTTCAGAAGTAGGCAACAAATCATAGAGAGAAATATATATATGCCTCTTGGAGAGCCCGGTAAGCTACGGAGTGTATCCTGCCGGCACAGACAGAGCCTGGCAAGCTCCCCGTGGTGTATTCGATACGCCAAAACCAGTAACTATAACGGGTCTCATTCCCCTGACCTGGAAAGAGCCTCCAGTCACTGGGAAAGACGAGTAAGGAGAGGCTGCTAAAATCTCACAGCTGGGATGAATAGAGACGTTGCTGGCGCCCGCTCGAGTAAATCCACAAACAAACGGGATGACAGTGATACAGTGATTAAAAAAAAAATCTTAATTTCGTATTGTGTAAGCATTTCTTTTCTTTTTCTTTTTCTTTTTTTTTTTAAATTTATTTTAATGTCAGTAGCCAGCTGGACTTTCGGTTGTGGACCATGTCACTGAGTCAAGGTGAAAATCAGGCCCTTTGGGATGAAGTGGGGCTGCCTAGTTGCTGTGTTTCTTTGAGTCAGTTTTCTCACTCTGGGGCATTTGTTTCTTCATCTACATAATAAGGCTGTTCGGAAGAGCATTCTTCAGAATATTTCAAAGGCTGGAAAACTCAGAGGTGTTGAATAGTAAAAGAGATAAAATTTCAGTGTTTTTATGCAATGAAATGAGAAAGAGTGGGTCACTGTCACTTTATGAACAGGATGACTCTTGTAGTGAGTGAAAGGAACCAGGTATAGGACCGTGGATGAGTTGGGGCGCGCGGTACATACATGCATTGCTTGCATGAGCCCCGGACTCCATCCCTGGTACCAGGAAAAGAGCGGTGGCAAGGTAAGGGAAAGGGGCGAGGGAGGGGGAATGGCGGCCACAGAAGCAGGTGTACCTGCTGAAATTTTCCATTTAGGGAAACTTTAAAAAACAAATGAGAGCCATGCGACATCCTGTGTCATTCATGATGTGGACCATGCGACATCCTGTGTCATTCATGAGTCTGTTCATTCAGCAACAGAAAACAACTTGTCTACTGTTGCCTGTTCAGCAGATCTGAGTGTTGGGGTAAAATCCCAAATTTTTAATAATGGGGGGTCTGCTGGTGTCAAAATATTGAATGCGATCAAAGTAGAGAGGGGGTAATGTGGAAATCATCTGCCCCACAGGTAGGGGGAGAGTGTGGGATGGGGGCATACTGGGGTTTCTGGGGGATTGGAGAACGGGTACTGGTGAAGGTGCGGGTGTTTCATTGTATGACGGAGACTTAAACCCGAAAGCTTTGTAGCTGATCTCACAGTGATTCAATAAATAAAATTATAAAAAATTAAAAACAAACACAAAAACAAGCGAGACTGGGGCTGGAGAGATAGCACAAGGGTTACGGTGCTGGCCGCAGTTCAGTGTCCTGGCACTGCATGTCACCCCTGAACCCTGCCAGGAGTCACCCCCGAGCAGAGAGCCAGTCGTAAGTGCTCTGCACCGCTGGGGTTGGCCCAGAATTGTAAACAAAAAAACCAAACCGAAAGCCCAGGGGAGAACTTGATGACCTTGGAATATCGGAAGAAGGAGGACAGAGAAGGAAATCAGGCTGGGTGGCAGCTGACGGGGGACAGGGCACGCACCAAGGGCTTTGGTCACTGCAGCGGGAGACAGGAGTGAGGCGCTGTCTCTCCCAACCCCAGGGTCACCAGAAGCAGAAGAGGAAACTTAAAAATGTGCCTGTCATCTGTAGAGGCCAGGGGCGGGGGGTGAGTATTCGGAGGGAACTTGGGGACACTGTAGAGGGACGTTGACATCGTAGTGGGGTGGGTGCTGGAACCTAGTTTGCCCGCAACTCAACTCTGCCACTTCGTGAGTCAGGGTGTCTTCAGAAGTCAGCAAAAGCCAAAGCTCACCAACTAGCCCAGCTGAGATTTGGCCTTAGGGTGTGAATACCAGGGGGAGGTGGTAGTAGTTGACGCCTGGAGGGGAGGGAGCTTGTGGGAAGGGAATGTAGGGATAGTTACAGATAATTCTGCTTTTTTTTTCTTTTTGGGTCACACCCAGCAGTGCTCAAGGGTTCCTCCTGACTCTGCACTCAGGAATTACTCCTGGCGGGTGCTTGGGGGACCGTCTGGGGTGCTAGGACTTGAACCCTGGTGTGCTGTGTACAAGACAAACGACCCTCCCCACTGTGCTCTGGCTCCGGCCCCCAGATATTTCATCTCGATCTGGGCATATTCGTGTTGTAAAAGAAGAAATCAGATTATACAGGGTGGGTGTTTGTCCTTATGTTTTTTAGCTGTGAAAAGGCCGAGAGCCATTGTATTTGCCATCCAAATACAACAGACAGGAAAGAAGTCAAACAGGAAAGGGTTGACCAGGCCAGCGGCCAGGAGGGACAGGGGTCACACCTCAGCTCTGGCGGTACAGAACTGACCTCTGGGCAGCTGGTGGATCCTCCTGAGCCTTAGTGAGGGCGTCTGTTCCAAGGTAAGGTACCCGACGGTGGCGTTTCAGGAAATGTGGTGGCGCATCGCGGACCGGAGAAGGCTCGGGGTGGAAGGGAACGCATGTCTCAGTGACACTCTCATGGAGAGAATGAATGTCTCAGTGACACGCTCACGGAGCAGGGCCCCGTGAACAGGGGACCAGTCCCCAAAAGACACGTCCACTCTCCACGCTGCGTTCAACTGCTTCTACCTCCTTTTGGATTCCCGAAGGAAGCAGTGACAGGTGTAGTCCTTCTCGGTCACACGGGGTCATTTGGCAATCATCCCTGTGCTCCTGCCCAGGCTCCTGGGCCTCGTGCCGAGGGTCTGGCACTCAGCAGTATCGGCACGGACCCGCCAGCGGTAGAAGGAAAATTCTCGAGAGGGTGTCCAGGCGCCAGACCGGAAGCAGACCCAGGGAGAGAGAACTGCAAATTGTAAGACGAGCTGCAATGAAGCTGTCCCGAGCAGAGGCGGAGAGTGAGCTCCCAGAGGAAACGTGCCTGAAGAAGGAGCAGCCACTTGTCCTTCGGAAGCTGGTGTGAAGGTGACCCCTCAGAGACAGGCAGAGAAGCCGCCGGGAGCCGGAACAGACCCCAGCACCCAGACCATTGTTCCCAGCTTTGCTTCCACACGGTGCCCTTCTGCTTCCTCTCCTGTCCCCTCCGTCCCGCCCCACCCTGCCGGGTGGTCTGCTGGGCCCCTGCCACGACCCGGCGACCCCCATTCAGGGGGTTTCCACCTGGCGCTGCCTTGGACTATCCTGGGGCCCCACAGGGTCCCCCACTGAGAAATGCCGCCCCCGCTTCTTAAAATGGGTCACGGCCTCGGAACTGCATGTGGGAATTGCGACAAACATTTGGCAGCAGTCAGAGATTTCTGGACGGGCAATTCGCAACGATTAATTAAAAACCAACCGTGTCAGGGATCTGAGGTGCTGCTGGCAGCTCCTGTCTGCGTTGCTCATCCCGGGTGAAAGGCAGCGTGGGTGGAAAAGTTTTAGCGGCCCCACCCCGGGGCATGGGGGGCACCAGGGGGGCCTGGCGTGGTCGGACAGCGGGCTGGACTCTGACTTGCCATGCGGCCGGCCTGGGTCCGATCCCCGGAATCCCATATGGGCTCCGAGCTTGCCAGGAGTGAGTCTTGAGTGCAAAACCAGTGGTAAGCCCTGAGCACCACTGAGTGTCGCACCCCCCCCCAAAATAAAACCCAAAATAACCCCCTTTGCACCTCCCAAAAGGCAAATGTCACTGTCACCGTCCTCCCGTTGTTCATCGATTTGCTCGAGCGGGCCCAGTAACATTGTGAGACTTGTTGCTGTGTTTGGCATATTGAATACGTCACGAGGAGCTTGCCAGGCTTTGCTGTGCGGGCGAGATAGCTTGCCGGGCTCTCCGAGAGGGGCGGAGGAGTCGAACTCGGGTCGGCTGTGTCAGCCGCATGCGAGGCAAACACTTTACCCACTGTGCTGTCACAAAAGGAAGATGTAACTATCATCAACCCAAAAAGTCTTGAGTCCCCCCTACGCAGGAGAATCTGTTTCTGGGCTTAGGAGGTACAAGAATAGGCTTGGGAGGATACGGTGAAAAAGGTCACCGACCAAGTCAAATCAAAACCAACGCCAGTGAGTTACAACCCTCACCCCTCACCCCTCTTCGAGGCCCTCCACAGCAAGGTTTGACGGACTCGGCACGGGGCTGTGTGTCCCCTGCAAGAAGAACGGAGGTGACCCACTGTAGGAGGAGGTCTCCTTACACACTGAGCGGGAAGCTGGCCCGGGAACGCGGCCTCCCTAATTGTGGGGATTGCGGGGGCCATCGGTGCACGAGACCTGGCCTTGGACAGCCTCCAGCATTGGTGCCTTCCTGGCGAACTGGCTAGCAGGGTCAAGACGGAGCTGGGCGCTCACCTCAGATGACCTGGGCCGAGGACCACGACCCATGGGGAGGAGAAACCCAGCACAGGATCTGGTCACCAGAGCCAGGGCTCCCGTCTGGCTCCTAACGCGCCCTCCCCCCGGCCCCCACATCAGCCCACATCACCCCCACAAGGAGGGTCCCAGCCCTGCAGTTCCCAGCCGCGTTCTCAAGTCGGGCAATGTAAAACCTCCGTGTCAGGGTGCCAGGGGCTTGAATCCGGGGCAGCTGCCTGGAAGGCCAGTGGCTTACCTGCTGTGCTGTCTTTCCAGGCCCCGGAGAGTCTATTTTGGGAAGGGCCACAGGAGTTCTGCCAGGGAGAGGAAAAAGAGAGAGACGCCAACCTTGGCCTTGCCGGCATGGTTGGGCCCAGCGCCGGTAGCGGACAAAGAGGGGCCTTGGTTGAGGTCAGCAGGGCCTGCGGAAAGCCAAGAGAGGCCGGCGCTTCGAGGAGACTGTTCCGTTCACGAGGAGGGTTGCCAGGAGGCGGAGGGAAATGAGGGCAGGGAGGTGGCCTTTGGATCTGGCGGCATGAACGCCGCCGTCGGATTGCACCGCTTTCGGTGAAGTGGTTTCAGGGGGAGGCTGGAGGCAGAAACCGGTTGAAGAGGGGATGGGGTGAGAGGCCGTGCGCCTTGGGCAGCGGTGCGAGTGTGTTCTAGACCCGTGCAGTAGGCCTGGGGGCTGGCGTGCCGTAACGGTCACAGAAGCCTTACCCTGCCGTTGCCTCCTGCTCTGGTGAGCTTTGGTGCTCCTGGCTCTGTGCTCCGGGATCACTCGCGGCAGGGGATGTGGGATGCTGGGAGCTGAAGACGGACAGGTCAGCCGCTGCACGCGAGGCAGGCACCCTGCCGGCTTACTCTCACTCCACCCGGGCCCCTTGGTTGGCTTTTTTTTCTAGAACATTGAAGATGTTCTAGAGTTTTTGGTTTTTTTTTTTTTTCAGGTCACTTCTTCTTTGGAAGAAAGTGGAATCTGTGCTAACTTCTCGAGTTACTATTATATCAAATTAAAACCTGAGAGTATTTACCTTTTCAGGAAAGTAATTATAAGCCTTGAAAATTATGCCAGGCTATTTCATCTTGAAACGCTTAGAAATTCATTTTGGGTTTTTTTTTTTTGGTAATTACAGTGTTTCAGTAAGAAAGACATCTAAACAGGGATTGCAGTTGGCAGTTAGACGCATGTTCTTGTTCTAAACTAAGCGCTGTTTTTTTGCGGTTTAGACTTTTCCTTTTATAAATAGAATTTTAATCAGCGTAGGTTAAAATTTTTTCCAGGCATGCTATAATTAGCCCTGGCTACAACCGAATCCTAAAATGCTTATAATAAATTTAATAGTATTTTATAAGCACTCATGCCATTAATGAAAGCAAATAGGAATTATTTGAATATTTAAAACAGCCTCTGTGTTTTTCCACACTGGCATGGAAAGCAAATAACTTAATAAGAAGCCGCCCCGTCGCCTGCTTGGGCCTGCCGTGGGCTCAGGTGGTCTCCATGGCCAGAGCCCCTCCGTCCTGTGTCCCTTCACGTACGGTCTCTGTGTGAATGCAGTTAGGGAAGGAAGCACTACCGTCAGCTCTGTGTTCTGATCCGGCACCTTGCCCTGACCCAGCGTGCAGGCAGACCTTTGTCAAACTCTCAGGTGAATCAGCTTGGAAAATATTATTTATTCGGGGGTTGAGGGTGTTGGGCTTTCCCCAGGGGACTCAGGGGTTATTTCTGGCTCTGCTCAGGAGGGACCCCTGGTGATGCTTGGGGTACCATCTGCGGTGCTGGGGATTGAACTGGGCCTGTCCACCTGCATGGTGAGCGCCTCGGCACTGTACGGTCTCTCCGGCCCTACTTTGGGGAATGGAAGGTGCATCGGTAAGCAGCATCGGCTCAGGTTAGAGTGAGACGTTTCTGGGTCTCAGTTTTCTTCATTGACCTGGCAGGAGAGGAGGGAGAGAGGCGCCATCCCGGGGCAGGAGAAGGACTCCGCAGGCGAGCTACTTGGGCCATTTCAGTCCAGAATAGAGTTCCGTTAAGAGAGGCGGATCGTGACACTTACGGCGACAAACATTCCGTTCTAGGGTTTGATGTCCAGAGTAGGGGAAACTGTGTCGGGGGTGTGGGGAGTTCTGTGCTTATCAGTACCCATTTTTGCCCTGTATGTTTGAAAACCGCCCGAGACAAAAGGTTTATTGAGGAAGAAGATCCATGAGACAGATAGTGTATTTCCTGGCGTCTGTGGAAAACACAAAACCCATGAGTCTGGTTCCATGGTGGGTCTCAGTTTCCTTGTCTGTAAGCTGGGGTTGGAGGCCTGGGGCTCTCTGCCTTGGGTGTGTTCCATGACTACGTCCACCCCCAACC